TCCGCGTCCCCCTTACCTGGGGCTACAAGTGTTGATGTCGTGGTGCAGTGGTGGCGCGCCTACACACGTAGGGTTAAGTCGGGCAAATCCCTCTACAGGAGGAAAATTCAAAATCGTCAAAAATGGTCGGGGGACGATTTTCATTCCCCACATGCTTCGTGGGGTTCTGGTTTTCTTCCCTGCCGCGTCGCACCCGCGTCTCACCTCACACCTCCTCTCCTCCTCACAGCAGGGTCGGAGAGCGTGGCGGGCGCGGCATTTTCTCGACACCAGAGAGGGTGCGCAGGGGTGGTCTCTCACCGCGGCGTCTATGCGTGCCAGGGTCGGAGAGCGTGGCAGGCGTGGCACTTTCTCGACACCAGAGGGGGTGCGTAGGGGGTGGTCTCTCACCGCGGCCCCTATGCGTGCCAGGGTCGGAGAGCGTGGCAGGCGTGGCACTTTCTCGACACCAGAGAGGGTGCGCAGGGGGTGGTCTCTCACCGCGGCGTCTATGCGTGCCAGGGTCGGAGAGCGTGGCAGGCGTGGCACTTTCTCGACACCAGGGGGGGTGCGCAGGGGGTGGTCTCTCACCGCGGCGTCTATGCGTGCCAGGGTCGGAGAGCGTGGCAGGCGTGGCACTTTCTCGACACCAGGGGGGGTGCGCAGGGGGTGGTCTCTCACCGCGGCGTCTATGCGTGCCAGGGTCGGAGAGCGTGGCAGGCGTGGCACTTTCTCGACACCAGAGAGGGTGCGCAGGGGGTGGTCTCTCACCGCGGCGTCTATGCGTGCCAGGGTCGGAGAGCGTGGCAGGCGTGGCACTTTCTCGACACCAGAGGGGGTGCGCAGGGGGTGGTCTCTCACCGCGGCCCTATGCGTGCCAGGGTCGGAGAGCGTGGCAGGCGTGGCACTTTCTCGACACCAGAGAGGGTGCGCAGGGGGTGGTCTCTCACCGCGGCGTCTATGCGTGCCAGGGTCGGAGAGCGTGGCAGGCGTGGCACTTTCTCGACAGCAGGGGGGGTGCGCAGGGGGTGGTCTCTCACCGCGGCGTCTATGCGTGCCAGGGTCGGAGAGCGTGGCAGGCGTGGCACTTTCTCGACACCAGAGGGGTGCGCAGGGGGTGGTCTCTCACCGCGGCGTCTATGCGTGCCAGGGTCGGAGAGCGTGGCAGGCGTGGCACTTTCTCGACACCAGAGGGGGTGCGCAGGGGGTGGTCTCTCACCGCGGCGTCTATGCGTGCCAGGGTCGGAGACAGGCGTGACACCAGAGTGCGCGGTCTCTCAGAGTGTGGCGTGGCACGGACACCGCGGCATCTCTCACCGCGGCCTTTGCCAGAGTCGGACATTTTCTCGACACCAGAGAGGGTGCGCAGGGGTGGTCTCTCACCGCGGCGTCTATGCGTGCCAGGGTCGGAGAGCGTGGCAGGCGTGGCACTTTCTCGACACCAGAGAGGGGTGCGTAGGGGTGGTCTCTCACCGCGGCCCCTATGCGTGCCAGGGTCGGAGAACGTGGCAGGCGTGGCACTTTCTCGACACCAGAGAGGGTGCGCAGGGGGTGGTGTCTCACCGCGGCCCCTATGCGTGCCAGGGTCGGAGAGCGTGGCAGGCGTGGCACGTTCTCGACACCAGGGGGGGTGCGCAGGGGGTGGTCTCTCACCGCGGCGTCTATGCGTGCCAGGGTCGGGGAGCGTGACAGCGTAGCAGGCGTTGACATAATATTTAAATTAAGTATGTGGGGATCCTCGGTAGCGTAATTACTTTTAGCATTTCGGCATATTTTTCCAACACTGTCGCCCAAAATCCTCCTGTAGGGGCGGGCACGCCCGAGCTAAACATAGGGACCGCTTTGGGCTCAGAAGGTGCGCTGGTTCCGGGCGGTTCCTCAGATCTGCGTCGTGGAACCAGGTTGTGTCGGGGGCCCACAAAAAGTGTGGTACTCTAAAGGAGGCTGGGGCAAAGGCGAGAGATAGCGAGCGTTTGTCCGCGGCCGTTTGTGATCAAGCGGCCGGCCGCCAATATATGACTGCGCCTCTTCGCGAGGCTCACAACTGCCATTGAGACCGAAAACATGTTCGCTTTGCATGGCCCGTCGCTCCCGCGACGATCTCCTACTTTTGGGACTATCGCTACTACGGTACAACAGAGTTGGATATGGGCGCCGCCGTAGGCGAAGCGTATAGCGTATGGTTGGGCCTCCCAACCCTTTTCAAACTGTGGTGACCACACCGTGCGGTGAGTTGGTGGGGATTCGGGGTCACCGCGCGGTTTTTGGATTCAGGCCGTTCTCCGAGGACGTCTCGGGCGACAGGCGTTGACGGACCGTGCGGTGAGGTCCTGGAGGATTTCGAGGTCACCGCACGGTCTGTCACCGCACCGTTTCGGGACTCCAAACTGGTTGTGGCCCAGGCCCGCCATGAACATAACAAGCCCTTTTGCTCGCGTTCCGGATGGTGGAACGATGACTGGGTTTTCCTCTGGCCTGGAGAGGCGACGCGTCCTTAATCGTCATCCCCCCCCGTCATCTTCCGCATCACTATTCCAGGCAACGGTGTTCGATGGCGTCATGTTGTGTCTAGTACCAGCGTGACCCCGATTCGAGGGGGACTCTGCACCGAGCGGTGTGTATGTGTTCTTCTGCAACTGCATCATATGAATTGTCGTGGCGTTGCCACCGTTGCTTAGCAACGACACGCGGCAACATTGCATTGCTCTGTAAGCCAATGTTCGTCAGAACAACGCGCGCATTCAATGGAATTGGCCAGAAACCGTAAAGCCAGGAGTTCTCCCGCACGGTGGTCATTGCAGAGTTTCGCGTGCGCACCCAGAGGCCCAAAAGCCTCCAAGAATACCAATTAGGGCCCTGGGATAGCCCATGGCATCCCCAACACCCAACACGGTCCCCATGGGGCCCCAAGACGGCCCACGTGGCCCCCAAGCGGGCCTTCAATTGGCACCAGGAGCAGGAAGTGCGGAGGAAGCAAGCTTGAAGAGGAAGAAGAGATACGTGGGAGGTGTGGGGCGACACCAGGACGGCTCCAGTTCGGCAAAGGAGGACCCCATCATGCTCCCGAGTGTGTTGTGTTGTCTTGCCGTGTGAAATAAATAGATCGCGCGCGTGTTTCCGTGGAGACAAGTGGACACGGGTTTGGGACCTTCCGTCTTGGGCCTGCCAGTTGGCCGTCAAAAGGCTTCCGATAGGCGAAGACGGGCGACGAATCGACCCCAGAGGGCCCTAGAAGCCCCGAGAGGTCCCGAAGACAGATCCAAGGCGGCCCCAGACGGCCGCAAGACGGCCCAACAGGCTCCCAAGACGACCCTAGGAGGCCCGAAGCAGACCCCGAAGAAGCCCTCCGAAAGGCACAATGCATCGCGTATGCGTTTGGCAGAGATGTCGCGTCCTCGCCGATCTGGGTTTCCAGCAAACAGACCCAGAAGATCGCCTCGGGATGGCCCAAGAGGTCCCCTGGCGGGCCCCAAGAAGGCACAAGAGGGATTTCGTCTTCCTTGCATGCGGAAGCCAGGCACGGCGGAGCATGAAGCACCCCAGCGGGGATGAGTCCAGAGGTTGGCCAAAAGATGCCAACTAGGAGCGATGACAGTTGAGGAAGTGATGGGGGAGGGGGATGCGGTTGGTTGAAAGGGGGGAGGTGATGGAGAGGCCGAGGACATGGGGGAACGGGTAGGTCTGCTTTGCCTTGGAGGAGGAAGAGGAAGAGCAGCAGCAGCATCAAGGAGGGGCAGGAGTATATACGAGACGAGAGCGTGAATCATTGCTCCCGTCCCCACTCGCCCCCGCTCTTCTCTGGCAAACTATTATAAACTGCTTATCCGCGAGTAATCCACCCGCAGCCCCACCACTTCTCCTCTCCCGCGGTGAGGGGTGCACGTGCTTATGCAAACGAGGGCTAGGTCATGTCGTACAATGTCGTCGCCATCCTCGTGCGATCCGTGGCTCAAGCAGGTGCGTCGCTCTCGCTTGCTACCATGTCGTCGCCCAGCGTCGTTTTTCGATCGCCGCTGTGCCTTCGCTCCCGTGGAGGCGCAGGCGCTGCGAGCGCAGGTCCAGGTGCTGCGCGCACCACAGACTTGCATGGGGCCGTCTCGTTCCGCGGCCCCGAGAGGCCGCAGAGCCCGCCGCGGCAGCCCTGTGCTGGAGCTCCAGCCTCGCCGCCGTCCGCCCCACCAGAGGCACGGGACGCCACCCCGCCAGGAGGCTCTCTGCAGTTGCTTTCCTCCTCTTCCTCCTCCAACTCCTTCTCCTCCTCCTCCTCCTTCTCCTCCTGCTCCTCCTCCTCCTTCTCCCCCATCCTCCTCCTCCTCCTCCTTATTCCCAAGGGCCGCCGCGCGTCGGGCCGCCCTCCGCGCGCATGCAGGCCCCCTCTGGGCTGAAGGGGACCAGCATTGGTCTCTGCGGCTTGAGGCGACGCCGTCCGCGTCGTAACACTGAGGTCTACTTCATCGAGCTCATCCTCATCGCTTTCGGCTGGTGCATGGGAGCGAGGCTTGACTTCTTGGTGCCGTACCAGCACGTCGCTGGCGACCTGGGCCGGAGGATCCATGAGTTCTTCAGCCGCAGCGAGTGGGACGACGTCCGTGTCACAATTCTAGGAGCGCTTTGGTCCGCCACCGTCCCCACCGCCGGGCAACTGGGATCCCCACGAGGTGGAGCTCGACACCATGACGGTCGTGCTGAAGGCCTCAGCTCATTTGACGGGCACAATACCGATGCCGCCAGCGCGACTTCTTCCGCCGCCGAGGCCGATCAAGGTGCTCAAGCGCTGGATTGAGCTCAGCCCAGAGCTGCAGGAGAGCGGCACCAAGGAGCACAAGGAAACCGAGAAGCTCTCCTGCACGGCGTACAGACACATGAAGCGCAATAAGAAATTCGGCAAGTTGAGGGACTAGTGCATGAGCAAGTTCTCCGAGGAGGTTCCGCCGAGCCCGACACCACCGAGGTCTTTGGGGAGCGGCCTGGGCCTCGCGGCTGCGTCAAGTATCACATCGGCGAATTCCACATCAGGGAGGATGGGGACGGCGATCATGATGAACACCGGCGACATGAAGGCGCCTCTGCCTCCGCACCCCCTGATGATGATGTAGGAGGAGGAGGAGGAGGAGGAGGAGGAGGAGGAGGAGGAGGAGGAGGAGGGGAGCCCTTGCCCCTCGCTGCGTCGGAACTAAGCTGGTCCCCAAGCGTTGCGTTTGCTGCAGCTCGTCCCGCCTGGCATCCCGCACGTCGTGGAGAAGAAGACCAGGTCTACCATCGTGCGCAGCAGTCACGGCTTCAACGTCGACGCAGAGTTCTGTGCACGTTGGAGGAGGAGACCAACTCACCGATCACGTTCAGCGCCGAGGGCGGCTGCGAGACCACCGACGACGACGAGCCCACCTTCATGGATATCAAGCAAGGTCAAGTTCCAAATTCCCCAGGGCGCTTTGCCCACCATCTCCGGGGGCATTTGCCCGCCCGTCACCAGCAACATCGAGGGCGATTGCCCGCCCATCTTCGAGGGCGACTTCCAGCCCTCCTTGAGGAGCGACTTCAAGGGCGACTTCCAGCCTCCTGTGCAAGAACAACATCGAGGGCCACGCCGAGCCCAACTTCGACCCCGATGGGCTTGCCAAGTGCGACAGTGCGGACCGCTTCGAGTCCGACGTCGAGGACATCGGCGACCCCGACAACGAGGGTTGCATCGAGCCCAACGAGAGCAGCCAGAGGCAGTACACGGAGGAGCAGCTCGCGTCTCTCGGTGCTGAGCGTCTGGCGACCCTGAAGCGTTTGGGCTACATCGCCTGCAGAAGATCTGCGCGTGCTCTTTGTACATCTTCGGTCGGTGCATTGGCATTGGAAAGCGTTTTCGAGCAATGTTTGTATCAAGCCCGCGCGTCCAGTCCCGCGCGGCCCCGCGATTAGGAACCTGTGCGTGCGCGGAGCACTGAGGAAAATCCTCCCCCGCTCCTCCTCCTCCTCCTCCTCCTCCTCCTCCTCCTCCTCCTCCTCCTCCTCCTCCTCCTCCTCCTCCTCCTCCTCTCCTCCTCCCTCCTCCTCCTCCTCCTCCTCCTCCCTCCTCCCTCCTCCTCCTCCTCCTCCTGCTCCTCCTCCTGCTCCTCCTCCTTCTCCTCCTCCTCCTCCTCCTCCTCCTCCTCCTCCTCCTACTCCTCCTCTGGGCTGCAGGGTCCACCGCCCGAAGGCGGTGCACCTTGGGCAGGCGCGCCGATGGTGGACCCGCCCGTCTGTGGCGCGCCGCCCGGCGGCGAGCCGCCTCCGGACGGCGGAGCGCCGCGGCCTGGGCCGTCGGCCGGATCGCCGCGGCGCGCGCAGCTGACCAGGGTCTTGGGGGGGTGCTGGGGGGTTCGACTAGACGTTAGAGTGACCTTTCGCCGGGGTGACCTTTGGTGCAGGCACAGATGGGTCCCCAGATGGCTGAAAACGAAGCAGGAGCAGCTGCCTGCGCGCCCAGCTTTGGCCCCCCCGCGGCCCCGAAACAGCCGCGCACCAAAGGTCACTCTTACCCAGGGTCACTCTTACGTGTAGCCGAGATGTGCCCATCGCCCTAGGTGCCCCCAGCCTTTCGCTGCCTTCTTCGAAGAAGACAAATGCAATACACGTTGGTTTCTGGTGGTCCGCGAGGATTTCTGGGATCCGCGGTGGGCCCCCCCCGGCGGCGCCTCCGCCGCTCTCGGCGCGCTATGCGAACCAGGGAGGGGGGCCCCAGCGCGGATCCAAGAAATCCGCGCGGAGCGCCGAACGTTAGTGTGTTGATGGCGTGTTTGCCTTCTTCTACTTCCGCTTCATTTTGGAGCCCCCGGGGCCCTCTGGGCCTCGCGAGTGGTGCCCGGGGGACCGCGGGGGCCGCCTCGGGAATCTCGGGGGCGCCCTGGGCCAGGGGCAGTGCTTGGAGCGCCCGAGGTTTGGAGCGACTCCAGCTCCTCGATGCCGCCTCGGGAATCTCGGGGGCGCCCTGGGCCAGGGGCAGTGCTTGGAGCGCCCGAGGTTTGGAGCGACTCCAGCTCCTCGATGCGAAGAAGAAACGGCGGCATGAAGGAAAGGAGGAGGAGGAGGAGGAGGAGGAGGAGGAGGAGGAGGAGGAAGAGGAGGAGGAGGAGGAGGAGGAGGAGGAGGAGGAGGAGGAGGAGGAGAACAAGGACAAGGAGGAGGAGAAGGAGGAAGAGAGGGAGACGGAGCAGGAGCAGCAGGATGAGGAGGAGGAAGAGGAACAACAAAGAGGAGGAGAAGGAGGAGGAGGAGGAGGCTCCGCGCGAGTTTCTCGGATCGGCGCTGGACCCCCCCCCCGCTTTCCTGGCGCGCGGAACGTGCCAGGGGCGGCGGCGGGAGCACCGCCAGGGATCCCGCGCCGATCCGAGAAATCCGCGCGGGACTCCGAAAGTTTATGGTCATGCCGCCTTTTTGTTTCTCTGCCGATCAGCTCCCTGCCGACCCTCGCGTGCGACGCCGCGCTGCCCGCGTGCGACGCGGCTCCTTCAGTCGGCGGCGAGCGAGAGGGGGAGTGAGAGAAGGAGGAGGCCCTCTCAGAAGGCGGCGGGACTTCTCAGAAGCCTGCGCGCCTCCCGAGGGGGTCTCCGCGTCTTCGGGGGAGGCTCAAAAAACTCCTCGGGAGGCCAATGGGGCTTCCGAGCCTCCGGAGGAGTCCTTCTGAAAGGGTTTCTGTGTCTTTTCGGGGGAGGCTTGGGAAGCTTCTCGGAAGGCCGAGCGTGCATGTGTTCGCTGGCCGCGGGGCCGCTCTTGTGGACATGGGTCGCCTGAGCAGTCACCTATTGATGTGCAAGACTACGGTTAAGTCGGGCCTGCCTTTCTAAAGGAGGAATTCAAACAAGTCATAAAATAGTCTGGGGACTATGTTTGGACAATGTTTGACCGCCTTTGAATATTGTTCGACTATGTTTTATTTGTTTTCGAAATCGCCCTGTAGGAGGACATGCGGGACCTAAGACTACGTCATCCCAGATAGCGGGATTGCTGCTCTGCGACCCAGAAATACTGTAGACCTTAGCATGGCAGTAGCTTCCTCTAGTCATCTCCCGGGGCCAGCTTCATGATTTTTTCATAACGTCGACCCTCAGGGGTCTCGACCCATTCCCCGGGACCAGTTTTTCATCCTGAACCGTTTTTTGACAGTCCCGAGGCCCAGCGAGGGCCTCCCGAGGCCGAAAATACGGACAAACTTCCCGTCATGATTCTTTTATTGCCCGAGGGTGTTTGGGTTTATGATGTTCCACTTACTTTAGGGAAAAAAATCGAGCGCCAGAAAAGCACCCGAAAACTCTTAGGGTTTTCACATGTGGGGCCCTGGGAGACGCCCGTCTGACCCGGTGTCGACACTATTTCGACATTTCTCCGGGTGCTCGACATCGGTTCTGGGATGTGGCGCCCTGAAGTACGATGGGAGCAACATAAGTCTGGGTGCGAGGGCCTGGCCCTTCTCTCGGGCCGGACGAAAGGGGGGGATTGGGAAAGGGGGGTGTACGAAATCTGCTGCATGCAGCTGGTTTCGGCCCCACCGAGGGGCCCATTCCTCGAGACGTGGCCGCCTCCGGCGCCGGGAGGCGCCGGGAAAGCCAGCCATACGTGAGCTGATTATCAGGCCCCCCCTTTGCTATCCTCCTCCTCCTCCCTCCTCCTCCTCCTCCTCCTCCTCCTTCTCCCTCCTCCTCCTCCTCCTCCTCCTCCTCCTCTCCTCCTCCTCTCCTCCTCCCCCTCCTCCTCATCCCTCCTCCCTCCTCCTCCCACCTCCTCCTCCCCCCTCCCCTCCTCCTCCTCCTCTCCTCCCCTCCTCCTCCTCCTCCTCCTCCTCCCTCCTCCTCCTCCTCCTCCCCCCCTTTCGCCGGGCCCGATTCTCGCCTCCCCCCCGCGGGGCTCGCCGCCGCTTCGGGCGCGGCGGGCCGCGCCGGCAGCGGCGCCGTCTTCCTGTTCGGTGCGCCAGCGGCGGCCGCCTGCGCCGCGGGCGCCGCTGGGCCGCCGGCCGAGGGGCGGCCGCGCCGGCGGCGCGGGCGGCGCACCTGGCTGGCGGGGGCCAAAGTCTACATGCGTCCTAGATGCGAGGTTGATAGACCGCCTCCTCCCTCCTCCTCCTCCTCCTCCTCCTCCCTCCTCCTCCTCTCCTCCTCCTCCTCCTCCTCCTTCTCCTCCTCCTCCTCCTCCTCCTCCTCCTCCTCCTCCTCCTCCCTCCACGCTCCTCCCCGCCTCCTCCTCCTCCTCCTGCCTCCGCTCCTCCACCGCCCTCCTCCCGTCCTCTCCTCCTCCTCCTCCACCGCCTCCTCCTCCTCCTCCTCCCCTCCCCTCCTCCTCCTCCTTCCTCCTATCCTCCTCCTCCTCCCTCCTCCTCCAGCGCCTCCTCCACCCCCCCTCCGCCCTCTCTCCTCCTCCTCCTCCTCCTCCTCCTCCTCCTCCTCCTCCTCCTCCTCCTCCCTCCTTCTCCTACCTCCTCCTTCCTCCTCCTCCTCCTCTTCCTCCCTCCTCCTCCTCCTCCTCCTCCACCCCTCCTCCGCCTCCCCCCTCCCCCGCTTCCTCCGCCTCCTCCCTCCTTCCTTCTCCTCCTCCTCCTCCTCCTCCTCCTCCTCCTCCTCCTCCTCCTCCTCCCTCCTCCTACTCTACCCTGACGTGTCGGTTAAGGAATTGGCCGTTGACGATTCGCGAGACGGCGCCGCGGCTGGCATTTTTTGCGGGTCCAGGTCTCCGTCGGTTTCGGCCCCAGGCCGTTTTCACTGAGGAGAGGTTTACTAGAGGGAGGTTGGGCCACCGCCGACTTAGATGGGGTCCGAGTAGATGGGGTCGGAGGATCGCGTCGCATCGCCGATACATCGACTATGCGGCTCGATGTGGAGCCCGTGTTTCCCCACGCCAACGCCGCCGAGGCATCGCCGATGCGTCGCCGATGCATCGTCGATACATCGACGATGCTTTTGCGATGCGGCGCGATCCTTCGACCCCATCTACTTGGACCCCATCTAGGAGGCCTCCACAAAGAGAACCAGGACTCTGCAAGCCACCCATTGGTTTTATTATGAGACCAACCATGAAAACCAATTCCAAGAAACACCCTGCTTGCCTCCAGGGCGCCCAGGGCTTCTTGGGTTTCAATGGTATGCGTAACGTTCCCACAACAAAAGTCAATGGACGTCCTGGGATCTCAGGGTTGGGTTTCTCGTGGAAGGTTTTTTGTGGTCGAGCCCAGCTCCTACTGTAAAAGACTGGTCGTAACTGGTCTGTGGGGAAGTGGTGTGTACTAATGATTGTTGGGTATAGCCAGGACCCCGGGTAAGGAGACCCGGTTAGCAGTAGGGCCCCAGAGCCCCGAAATTGAGCAAAATCATTAGACACTAAACCAGGTCCGCCGTAGCTAGTGTTTTTAGGGTGACGGCAGTTCCGGTTCACGTTTCTCTCTCTATCTCTCTCTCTCTCTCTCTCTTGTTTTCGTTCTCTCTCTCTCTCTCTCGTTCTCTCTTTCTATCTCTCTCTTTCTCTCATTCTCTCTATTTCTGTATGTTCCTCTCTCTTGTTAGTGGGTGTACAACGGTCAACACATAATTTGTTCCGCCATCGGGGACGCCTGCCTCCCAGGCGGCTGGAACGCTTATACCCCTACGTGGCACCGTGGGGCGAGAACTCTTGCAGCCGCCCGGGGGGCAGGCGTCCCTGCCGGCGGAGCAGTTTGTGATATGCCGCTCTTCGCCCGCCAAATGCAGGCATGCTCGCGTCCCGATGTTCTCACGGTGGACGGTTTTTTCCCAACCATCCTGTGGTGTTGGGTCCTCGTTTTGAAGAGACAGCGCCCCGCGTTCCTTCCTTCCCGCTGCCCCCTCCCTCCTCCCATCTTCATCATCATCGTCATCGTCACACCCATTTCGGCACAGAAACCCCTCACACGTTTCGTGGCCCCATAGGGAGCTCCACCGAAGGTCCCATGGGTGTGCCCGCATCGTCCCGCACACCCATTTCGGCACCCCCCTCATACGGTTCGTGGCCCCATGGGGGGCTCCACCGAAGGTCCCAGTGGTGTGCCCGCATGCGTCCCGCCACCCATTTCGGCACACCCCTCACACGTTTCGTGGCCCCACAGGAGCTCCACCGAAGGTCCCAGTGGTGTGCCGCATGCGTCCCGCACACCCATTTCGGCACACCCCTCACACGTTTCGTGGCCCCAGAGGGAGCTCCACCGAAGGCCCCAGTGGCTGCCGTCCGCATGCGTCCCGCACACCCATTTCGGCACACCCCTCACACGTTTCGTGGCCCCATAGGGAGCTCCACCGAAGGCCCCAGTGGCTGCCGTCCGCATGCGTCCCGCACACCCATTTCGGCACACCCCTCACACGTTTCGTGGCCCCATAGGGAGCTCCACCGAAGTCCCAGTGCTGTGTCCGCATGCGTCCCGCACACCCATTTCGGCACACCCCTCACACGTTTCGTGGCCCCATAGGGAGCTCCACCGAAGGTCCCAGTGGGTGTGCCCGCATGCGTCCCGCACACCCATTTCGGCACACCCCTCACACGTTTCGTGGCCCCATAGGGAGCTCCACCGAAGGTCCCAGTGGGTGTGCCCGCATGCTTCCCGCACACCATTTCGGCACACCCCTCACACGTTTCTGGCCCCATAGGGAGCTCCCACCGAAGGGCCCAGTGGGTGTGCCCGCATGCGTCCCGCCACACCCATTTCGGCACACCCCTCACACGTTTCGTGGCCCCATAAGGGAGCTCCACCGAAGGTCCCAGTGGGTGTGCCCGCATGCGTCCCGCACACCCATTTCGGCACACCCCTCACACGTTTCGTGGCCCCATAGGGGGCTCCACCGAAGGTCCCAGTGGGTGTGCCCGCATGCGTCCCGCACACCCATTTCGGCACACCCCTCACACGTTTCGTGGCCCCATAGGGAGCTCCACCGAAGGTCCCAGTGGGTGTGCCCGCATGCGTCCCGCACACCCATTTTGGCACACCCCTCACACGTTCGTGGCCCCATAGGGAGCTCCACCGAAGGTCCCAGTGGGTGTGCCCGCATGCGTCCCGCACACCCATTTCGGCACACCCCTCACACGTTTCGTGGCCCCATAGGGAGCTCCACCGAAGGTCTCAGTGGGTGTGCCCGCATGCGTCCCGCACACCCATTCCGGCACACCACATCCCTCACACAGTGGTGTGCCCGCCGTCACCCATTTCGGCACACCCCTCACACTTTCGTGGCCCCATAGACTCCACCGAAGGTCTCAGTGGGTGTGCCCGCATGCGTCCCGCACACCATTTCGGCCCACCCCTCACACGTTTCGTGCCCCATAGGGAGCTCCGAAGGTCCCAGTGCTCCGTGCGTCCCCTGTCCCACCGCATTACACATCCCTCACACGTTTCGTGGCCCCATAGGGAGCTCCACCGAAGGTCCCAGTGGGTGTGCCCGCATGCGTCCCGCACACACATTTCGGCCACCCCTCACACGTTTCGTGGCCCCATAGGGGGCTCCACCGAAGGTCCCAGTGGGTGTGCCCGCATGCGTCCCGCACACCCATTCCGGCACATCCCTCACACGTTTCGTGGCCCCATAGGGAGCTCCACCGAAGGTCCCCGTGGCGCAGTCCACATGCGTCTCCTTTGCCCAGTACAGCGTTACGTGGCCCCATATGGAGCCCCACCGCAGGTCCCAGCCAGCCAGCTAGCTCTCTTTGCTCCGCGCAGCGGGCGACCCGCGCGCGTCGCTGGGACTCCTCCGGGGCGACCTGCGCGCGTCGCGGGGGCTCCGTGCTGCGTTCCGCCCAGCGCCTCGCTCGCCCGTCGTCGCTCTGCCCAGCGGCAAGAGCCTTGCCCGCTATCAGCCAGCCAGCTAGCTCTCTTCGCTCCGCGCAGTGGACGACCCGCGCGCGTCGCTGGGACCCCTCCGGGGTGACCTGCGCGCGTCGCGGGGGCTCCGCGCTGCGCTGCTCCCGCAGCCTTGGACTTTTGAGTGCGCGGGCAAAGAGGGAGTAAAGGAAGGGGAGGAAGCGGGCGCGATCCTCGCGGGGGGGCGCGCCGACATTGGCGTCGCGGCGCGCGGGCGATGCCGTCGGGGAGTCCCGGGGAAGCTCCTTGCGGCGGCCACGCCCAGCGTCACGAGTATTCAGAGGCAGTCGTTGTCAAACTATTGGCATTCATACACATTTGCACCACGCTTTGTCATATTCGCATTCATGCACGTAGACTCGCTCGCACGCAGATCATTCACAGTCAGACGCACGCGCGCAGATTCACCCGCGCTCAGTCTCCCTACGTACTCAGATCAATCGTTTTCGTTCGCTTTGTGTACCACGCCACTCATGTCGGCACGCCCCTAGCACGGTTCGTTGCCTCATAGGGATCGCCACCGAAAAAATGAATCACTATTGCGGTACTCGCACCTGCATATGGTTGGGTCCCTCGTCAGGCTAATTTTGGCCGTCTCTTCTTCCTCCGGTGGCCCCTCGACGAGCCCCCGGGGCTGTCAAGGCGCGATGAGAACTGGGCCCTGGAGACAGGCCCGGACTTCTGGGGAACCCGATGTTTCATTTGTTTATCCTGTTTATTAACTTAACAATATTGTACTAGTAATAATAATACGACTAGGAATAGCAATATTATTACTACTGAGTGTTCTATCAACAATAAGAATAACTAATGTTATCTATACTATTAGTATCATTAATAATAATAACACTAATAATGCTACTAACAACGATAATACGAATGCTGATAACAAAACTAATACCAATGATAATAATAATCATAACAATAATCATAGCATGGCATCGCACGTCTGCGCAGGACTCTGCAAGCCGGATTCGGCTCTGCAGCAAAGACATCAGAGCACACGCAAGGGGGGGGTAAACAGACGGGGGCGCAGCCGAGGGCCGCTGAAAGGGGGCCCCTAAGGGAGCTCCTTCGGGTCCAGAAAGTTGCCCTGCAGGGCCCGAAAAGGGCACACTCTTTTCCCCCCCAGCTCTTGGCGCCCACCAACTCCTTCGCGCCCAAGAAGAGTGGAGAGCAGCTGTGCGTCTCTGCCCACGGCCACAGGCTTTTCACCTCGAGCGCCGCGCGACGCCGACGCGGC